AGGTTGATAGACGAACTTAGAATGGAGAAAGGAGCTTGGACGAACATGATAACGTCCTTAAATACCATACTGATAAGGGCTGATAGAATGAATATTAAAGATAAGATGACTCACCCTTCTTCATTCTGAGTGTTATTTCCACTTTTGAATTCGTAACAGTCGTTCGTGAGTGGAATACAATCGTTGTACTGCCCCAGTGACTTTGGAAGCAACGCTTCTTGTTAGCAAGCAGGTAGCCTACTACTGTTGAGACTCAAGAAGAGTTTATTCCCTTCACTACTTGAGCTTAGTCCTCTGCTACATGAAGTAAGATATAACCAACTTCCTATTTAATCCTGTACAATCACAGACAACAGCATCGAGCAAACGAAAGTAGTAATGGAAGGTAGAGCCAATAGCGAATGAATCAAACAGAGGAGCAGATACATATCTTTATTTTAAAAAATAAATTTAATTAAATTAAGCACAAAGAGCATGGGAAGAAACAAAATTTGGATCAGTCGGGTGCTGCAACATCAATCTCATCATATTGAAACACTTCCAAGTTTAGATCATTTACATATCTTTGGTCAGGACCTCGTTCAGTCCATTCTTTTGTTTTCTTCACAGTGTCCCAATATCCACATCTTGGTTGTAGGCACCAAATATCATTATCGCTTTTCTTACAAAAAACCAAATGAACGAAGTAATGCAGATCAGGATCAGGATGAGAATAATCGTTACAGAACCAACTCTTGCCGTCTCCCGTCTCGACGTAATAGATGAAGGGATTTACTACCCTCGCGTTGAGAACTTGATAACGGTTCTGTTGTGACCAGTAATTCTTCTGATCCTCAGTTCTGGCAACTTGTATGTGAATTTCTCGATGTTGTGGAAATTCATCTATGTTTTCCTTGTAAATGTGGAGGGAAAGACAGTCTCTCAGCAGTTCATCAAAGCTCAAACTCAATCGATGATATTTCTCCCCAATCGTACCGGTCCTGGGGAAAGGACTAATAGTAGGTGAAGCGCCTTCCCAGTGTGTACATGTAAAAGCGATTATATTACTCTTCAGTATGGCTTCAATATCTGGCCTTTGTTTCTGAAATATATGTGTTGTTGAAGAAATTGTTTTCACAAAGGAAAGCCATACCTGTTCCTCAACATTAGAGACTCTCACAGCCAACTTTGCTGGACACATATTAATTCTTGTCAAACGGGGTACCCGATTTCTGAAAATAACTCGAAAAAATAAAATTCAAGAAGAGTAGGGAGCATACGTTTGACCAGGTTCTGTTGGAATACCGTTGTTATCCATCATACTTCGGAACACAGATGTGAGTATCTACACCGAGAAGACTTGAAGGTTGATAGACG